AGTGTCTCAAGGTGGGCAGGCCGTGGGTTGCCACTGCAGCACCGAGACCCTCGCTGGATGTTCCCTCTGTGCTGAGGCTGCTGCTCCATCCAGGAGAGGAGTCCTGGCCCCAGCAGCCCTTTCTCCTCTCTGGCATCCAGACCCCACGCTGGAGGGGCCTGGTTGTCACTCTCATGGCTCTCCAGTGGTGACTCTTTGCTCCTGAGTGGGAGATGACTGGGTTCCACTGCTTCTGCTACACTAACCACTGCAGACACCTCTCTGGCACCAGGCCACTGCTGCCCCTCACACCCTCCCCATCACTACAAATAAACCCTTCTTCCATGATAGCTGCTTGGGTTTTCTTTCCTATTCATGGGTCTTCTCCAAACCATCAGTGTCCTGGGGCCCTCCTCAAGCTGCCCAGGGGGAGCAGCGATCCCAGCTTGGCCCTGGCTGAGCCCAGACTCCTAACTGCAAAAGCAAAAGAACAGGGGGGAACTGAGTGTGAAGAGCTGACACGTACCAGGAGGAAGGGGAAATCTCTGGGGCTGTGTGTCCTTTCTCTGAGGAGCCCAAACGAGCTGCCCTGTGCAGGCAGAACACGCACCTTGCCCACAGGGCTCCCTGTTGGTACCCAAGCTCTCCCAGGAAGGGGGAAGGCAGCTGTGGCCCTCCAGCCTTTCGGCAAGGAGGGACATGGACATCAGGGTGACTGGTGAGGTTGTGGGGGGTGGGGGTGGAGTTGTGAGGCGATGGTTCTCGCTTTGGCTTGGCATGACACAAGTGGGCAGTGTGGCAGGCTGGGCAGGTGCCAGGCAGACATCAGGAAAGCTGTGCAGGGGCCATACTGCTGCTCAGGGGAGCTGCCACACCCCTGTTGGCAGTCAAATGTCTCCATTCCCAGAGCAGTGAGGAGGAGGCCAGGTCATCTGCAAGGAGCAACACCCCAGCCAGGGGGACCCCAGCGAATCCAGCACCCAGCAGAGCTGGCAGAGCACAGGGCAAGGTGCAGAGAGGACAGCCAGCCTGCAGGTCAGAAACCTCGGAGGAGAAATGTCCCATTGCCTAGAGGAGCAGCACCTCGCTGCAGAACCAGGTAACTGCACCAGCCCCTCACTGCACAAGTGTCTCCACTCCCTGGAGCTGGCACGGGGCTCTGCTCCCCATCTGCTGACTGCCCTTCTGCTCAGGAACACGCCAAGGACGGGTGAGGGGCAGGTGATCTGTGGAGGTCTAGTCCCTGTGGTGGTGAGAGGGTCTGGGGCACATCTCTTGGCAAAGGCTCACCCCACCTCTGTCCTTCCAGCCGCTGCAGTGGCACCAGAACAGGACTCGCTGCACGGCCAGGAAAACGCTTGCTCAGAGGAAGCAGGAGGATGTGAAACTCAGCTGGGGGTTCCTGATCCCCAAAGGCCCTTTCCTAACGCAGTGACTTCCCCAGGAGGGTGTCACGGAGCGTCCCCGAGGCTGTGCCAGCAGTGCCCACAGCAGCCCCAGGGCTCAGCAGCGCCAGTCCTGTGCCCTGCTCCCCCCCGGAGGTAAGAGAGGGGAGGGTGCTGCAGAGCCCCTCTCGTTGGGGTGGGCTGGGGGGGCCTGAGGGTCCCACAGGAGGAGGAGGGGACGCTGTGTGTGTGATGGGGTGGATGCACACTTGTCCTTGCTGGGAGAAGACCCAGTCCCCTGGGGCAGGCACTGTCCTGGGAGGTCCTCAGCTGGTGGGGTGCTTGATCCTGATGGGCAGAACCCAGAAAGTCAGGCTGCTGCTGCAGAAGGGGTGAGGCCATCTGGGCCCAGGGAGCCCCAGTCTCGGTGCAGCACGGTGCCACGGTCTGCAGCAGCACACCACCTGCAGGGCAGGGCACATACTGGACTGGGAGAGCTTTGAGCTGGCTGTGGGTACCACAGGACCTCAGAACTCCATCCAGACTGGAAGTCCAACCCTTCTTGCACCATCAGGGGCTGCCCTGGGGCTCTTCACGTATCTGCCTCCCCACCACCTGGCAGCTGGTATAGAGTGGGCACTGAGGGCTCAGCCATGACAGCCAGGGGCCCCTGGTGCCCTCAGCCTCATGGCACAGTACCTCCTCTGCCCCGTGGCCTGGAGGCCACCCCTGCCATGGCCACTCACCCTCCACCTCTTTCTTTCTCTTTCCATGCTCCAGAGCACCAACATGGGGCAGAGTTTCTGGGAGAAGCTCCATCTGGCCCTTGTCCTCCTGCATGTGGGGTCTGCTGTGACCAGAGATGACCCCTACAGATGCTATGGGGCTCCAGGCCTGCCAGGACTGCCGGGTCTGCCGGGCAAGGATGGTCGGGATGGGCTGAAGGGAGCCAAAGGTGAACCAGGTGAGTGGACAAGGAGGGGAACCACACAGGCTGTTGAAGTGAGGTGATTGAGTCCTTCATGGGTGGTCTGCCTTGGTTTGCAGGCTGTGGAGAGCTTCCTCTGTGGACAGGGCAGGGTAGGAGGCCAGAGAGAGGAAACAACTCTCTTCTGCCCAAGGGAAGGGGCTGGAGGAGTCTCTCCCCACATTGATGCTGACTCTGTTTTGCCCCACAGGCATCCCAGCCCCTCCTGCAACACGAGGGCTCAAGGGCATGAAAGGGGAACCAGGTAGCCCTGGCTTGCCAGGCAAAAATGGCCCCGTCGGTCCCCCTGGCCCCCCTGGAGACCCTGGGCCCATGGGCATAGCTGGCGTGCCAGGTATGCCAGGCAGCTACAAGCAGAAGCACCAGTCAGCATTTTCGGTGACCAGGCAGACCAGGGAGCACCCCTCAAAGAATGTCCCCGTGGTGTTCAACCACGTCATCGTCAGCACCAACCAGGACTACAACACCACCACGGGCAAGTTCACCTGCAGGCTCCCTGGCCTCTACTACTTTGTCTTCCACAGCTCGCAGACAGCCAACCTCTGTGTCATCCTGTACGTGGACGAGGTCAGGATGGCCAGCTTCTGTGACCACAACACCAACACCATGCAGGTCAGCTCGGGGGGCATCCTGCTCCACGTGGCTGCTGGAAGCCAGGTCTGGCTAGAGGTGAATGACTACAATGGCATGGTGGGCATAGGCAACTCTGACAGCATCTTCTCAGGGTTCCTGCTCTTCCCAGACTAGAGGACCAGCAGAGCCCATCCCAGCACGCTGACCTCCTCGCCCTGCCCTGCAGGTGCTGCTGCTCACCACCACACTGCTGCTGAGGCTCCAGGGTTCTCTGCTGGGTGGGAAGCCCCAGAGGGAGGGTCAGACCCAGCCACCAGACACAAGACACCGGCCTAGGAACCAAGTGCAGACAGCTGCTGAGTGGGCAGAGCAGGCCTACCTGATGCATCTGCACCCAAAGTGGGGGTGCCAGGCCCCCAGGGTCCTGCTGGCACTGCCACACGTGTCCACCCTGATAACCCCACGTCACCTTCAGCTGCTGCAGCCAGAGGTCTGTCTGCATCTCTCCCCTTCCCACCCAGGTTGCAGCAGGGACAGCCGGGTGTCTCAGGACAGGCTTGCAGCAGCACCTTTGCCAAGAGCCAGCCATGGAAAGTGTCAATAAACCTCCCCCAGTGCACCTGGCCTCATGTGTCTTTCCTCCACGATTTCTGCAGGTGGAACCCACGTGTGGCCAGATGGGTGTGGTGTGCACGTGTGTCACAACATCTGGACATCTGTGTGGCACCAGGATGTCCCTGAGCCCCCTATGGCTTGGCCACACTCACCAGCATTGAGCACACAGCCCCCACCTAGGAGGGCACTGAGACTCCTCCGAGGAGGGGCCCAGTTCAATTGCAAAGGGCCCAGGTCGTGCAGCAAAGCTCACAGCCATGCCTCTGGTGACTGGGACGTCCCAACCTCACCAGGGACAGGGCAGGGGAAGCACTGGCTTCCCTGAGCCAGACCTAAGGATCTCGTGGCTGTGGAGGCTGCAGAGCCCACCAAAACCCAGTGGAGATTCCTCCAGGTGGTGCACACTGGACAGCCAAAGAGATCAGCTCCCCTGAACGTCCTGTGCTTCACTTCCACATGGCACCAGCAGAAAGCAGGACTGGAAATGCTTCTAGTGCAAGGGGAAACCACTTCCCTAGGAGACCCTGGGGGACAGGACCACGGTGATGGGTGCTGGGAACCTGTGGCATCCTCTGGGCCTGTCAGTACCTGTCCCTAGAGCTGGGTACACGTGAAGAAGCCTGAGGGATGGCAGCTAAATGCATGCACCCTTCTGCAGTCCTCAGGGGTTACCTCAAACTCGTCTGGAGCTCGTGGCAGCATTCCTCATAGCAACTGCCCTCAAGAAGGTCTCAGGGGCCCTGCAGCAGAGCAGACACCCCTCTGCTCCCCGGAGCTGCACTCCTGAGGGGACCTAGGGTGCTCTTTGGGGACAGCGTGTTCTGCTGAGCTGGTGGACAGAAGTCACGAAGGATATGAAAGTACCACTGAAGAAAGGGTAGGAGCTAAAGATAAAAAAGGGATGTGGCCCAGATCCTTTCACAACAACCCTTCCAGCCAACTTCTCCTTCTCCTCACGCTCATTTCCAAGCAGGACGCCGGTGTGTCCTGGTCCATCTCCACATCTGTACAACCAGAAGCTCAAGGTAAGAGCGAGACGTCAGCAAGGCTGAGCCCCAGCTCCCCCCTGCACGCAGGGAACCCAGCAGTGCCAGGGTGACAGTCACCTCCTGCATCACTGGCATTTTGCTGTGGCTTGGGGCAGAAGAGAAAGGGGACTGCTGGGCTGGGGGTGGAGATCTCTAACAGGACCCTGACCTCTCCTGCTCCACCTGGGGGAAAGGGGAGAGGGAAAGGGGAGGTGGCAAATGCCCAGAGTGGTGGCCAGGGACTGAGCACCAGCCCGAAAGGTGCCCTAGGGCTGCTCTCCTGCCCTGAGAAGCTCATCAGCTGCCTAGACCTGGGCTGGGAGCCTGCAGATTGGTCCTTGTACCTGCCACATCCAAACCACGGTGCTGTAGCTGCAGGATCCAACTCACACCAGGCTTTCAGTTCTGGGGCAATCCATCTGAGACCAAAAAGTGTGGCTGATGGTGTGTGATGTCCAGATACAGCCCCCAAACACCCAGCGCTTACCACAGCTGCACCAGGAGCTGGGGGAAGGAGCTGTAGGACACAGGGAGGGCAGAAGGAAGATGGGACCCCAGGTACTGGAAGCCCAGATGACCCAGTAAGGCTGGTTAGGTACAGAAATGCTCCCAGGGTGAAGCAGGCATGTGGCAGGACACAGCAGGGACCCACAGGGGTTAGGATGGCAGCTCTGAGGATTTCATTGCTACCCCCCAGACGTGCTGGTGGAAAGCAAGAGCTATCCCCCTGCAGATGATGGAGCTCCTCTGGCCTGAGGTGAGGATGGATGTGACCCTGCAGGTGTGGTCCTAAGGTGGGATGGAGGATTTCTCCTCTGAGGTAGCTGTGGTGACTCAGAGCATTAGGGACCTGCAGCACAGCCCCATGGCAGCAGCGTGGCCAGGCTGGACATCAGTTCTCTGGGCCAGGCTAATCTGTCCCCAGACATTCCTGTGGTTAAGACTCTGGGCATTTGTAAACTGATCATTTAAGAACGAGAAGAGACTGACAAGCCCTCCCGTGCCCAAAGGGGTTAGTCCCTCCAAGGCCATCAGGAGAGGGGACTTGGCTCTGGAGCAGGATGGTTTCCCTCCTTGATGGGATGACCCATGTGAGCTTCTAGCCATTGTCCTCCAGAGCAGTTCAGAGTGCCTCCCCCACCCCTCCCACCACCCAAGCCCCTCGATGCCCTTCTGTGCTCCAGCAGATGCAGACCACGTGGGCGATGCTGATCTGTCTGCTTGGAGGGCAGCTGTCAAGTGCCACGCTCTGCACCATCCCAGGCATCCCAGGGTCCCCAGGACAGCCCGGCAGGAATGGCAGAGATGGGGAGAACGGCCTCAAGGGCGAGCGAGGTAAGGAGGAGGTTGCAGTAGGGGAAAGCTTCATCCTGTGAACACCAACTGTAGGAAAAGGCAGTGCCATGGTCCTGGGAAGGGAAGCCATTTCCCATCTGTCCTGAGTGTTCTCATGTGGGCGTGATGCTCAGGGACAGAAGGGGCTGGGCAAACCAGAGCACCCCAGGGGCCTGAGGAGGGTGAGTAGATGGTCGCAAGGGGTATCACATCTGCCAGGTGGCAGGGGTCTGTTGACCTGTATCCCAGCCCAAGTACTGATCGTTTCCTTCCCAGCGTACCCTCTGCAGACCCACGGGGCTTGGCTGTGACCACAACGACTCTTCTTCCTGTTTTCCAGGTCCCCCTGGCCAGGCAGAGCACGAAGAAGACATGGGGCAGAAGGGAGAACCGGGAGCGCCAGGGTACCCTGGGAAGATCGGCCCCAGGGGGCCCCAGGGTTCAAAAGGACTCCAAGGTCTCACGGGACCTCCCGGGCCTCCGGGGGAGTCTGGTGACTACAAGGCCACCTTCAAGTCTGGCTTCTCTGCTGCCCGGACCATCAGCACCCACCCCCGTCGGGAGCAGCCCGTGCGCTTCGACCGCATCATCACCAACGAGAGGGGCCACTACGAGAACCGCTACGGCCGCTTCACCTGCCGCCTGCCCGGCCTCTACTACTTCACCTACCACGTCACCTCCAGGGGCAACCTCTGCCTCACCCTGAAGAAGGGCCGGGGCGGCAGCAGGGGCGAGAAGGTGGTGACCTTCTGCGACTACGTGCAGGGCAGCTACCAGGTCACCACGGGAGGCGTGGTCCTCAGGATGGCAGTGAACGAGTCCGTCTGGCTGGAGCCGACGGAGAAGAACAACCTGGTGGGGATCGAGGGGTCTGACAGCGTCTTCTCCGGCTTCCTCGTCTTCCCTGACTTTTAGCCTGCTGCAGGTGTCTCTCTGCAGCCCTTCTGCTGCTGGCTGGCTCCTTTGGGGATGAAGACTCCCTGCTGGAAACGACTCTCGGCTCCAGATTTGGTGCCCTAAGTGTGTTGCTGTTGGTCTTGAACATTAAACAACAGCTTGATGTGCCACTGGTTCCATTCTGCCTAGTATTTGCCTCATTGTCCCCAAATAATGCTCAGATACCCGGGGCACTGCACCCCTGGGTGCAGCCTGGGCTCGTTGGCATCTCATCACTGCTGAGCAGAACCAGGAAATTCAGACAGTTCCTGCTGCAGACAGGGCTGAGTGTCTCCTTCCAGTGCCACCCTCAGAAAGCCCCAGCCCAGGGTTAGCAAAACACAGAAGGGAACCTGGTCTCTGGCAGGGGAAGGGACACACAACACAGTGGGAAAATTTGGGCTACAGGGTACTGTTGGTAGATAGGGAGGTGCTGGAGATGGTCTCATACTGGAGAGTCCTGGGGATGGTAGGATCTGGGGACATTGACCTCTCTTAGCCTTTTTTGGGGGGTGATGGTGACAGTAACATCCACAGGAGTCTGGCAAAGCACACGGGGAAGCCAGAGCTTGATGTCACCATGGGAGAAGTGTGGGGCACACAGCTGGGCAGGGTCCAGAGCAGCCCATAACCCCAGCAGAGGACTAACACATGGACGTCCTATAGCACAGCCAAGCCCTCCCAGAGATGTCTTTATTAATAGTAGAGCTGATTGACCCAAGGACTTCCAGATGAACAAGAGCAGAAGGACCTCAAGGATGTCCCTGTCCCAGGGAAGCTGACATTCCAGCATTGTACCTGGGTTGGCAGCTGCAGGGTGTGAAGCCCATGGGGGTAGACACGAGGTGCTCAGGGGATGGAAGAGGAGAATTTGGGGGGGGTGTCTGGGATCTGAAATGTCCTCCAGGAAGCGCATGTTCATAAAAGGTCTTGGGTGGGTGAGGGGGTTGCAGGTCCAGGCCCCACAGCTCTGGGCAGCACAGGTCTCCTATAACTTTGTAAAAATATATTTTGCAGGGGGTTTTAAACCCGCTGGTTTTGCCCGGGAAGAAAACACCCCCAGCAGGACCCCCGTGTTACCTCCAGGGTGGTCGTCAGCGAGGAGGAGGGCAGTGGCGAGTAAAGGAGGGATGGGCAACGATCGCTTTCTTCCAAAATAAAAGGTTTTAATAACATGAAAATAACAAACAAAAACACCTGAGGCAGGCACTGAAACAGCACCCACCCCAGGGGAGAAGCGAAAGAGCATGTGGCCTTGGGGCCAGGGGTTTTTAACAGGTTGGTAGGTGGGTTTACAAAAGGCATTGTCCTGTAAGGATACCTGGATGGGTTACCTACAGGTCAGGGGTCCAATGGGTGTTAGGGGATTGGTCTTGTGGTGGCTAAGCCAACCACAACCTGGGAAAGGTGGAAAATTCTGGACGTGTGCCCATGTCTGGGGACAAAGAGGCAACAGAAACCTCTGTCTCCAGGAGGCTCACTGCAACAGTCTCCCTGCCCCAGCATCACCATCAGCGACCAGCTCTGGTGGCACCAGCTTGAGGACTCCAGCTCTGGTCGGGGGTGAGGTGCCAGCAGGTGAGACTGGAGCCTGGGCCAGCCCCAGCGCTCAGCCAGAGCATCCTCGCCCCACAGGCAGAGCTGGCAGCGATGGGCAGAAGCAGGAGGCTCAGCTCTGCCTTGCCCACAAGCTCCAGGAGGCTCTGGGCAGGATATGTGCCTCCTCCCTTGGCCCTGCATTAAAGCCTCCTCCGCAGCACCGTGCTGCTTCCTCCTTCTACCAGCAAAACCTGTGGCTTCTGTCCCCGGGGAGCAGCCAGAGCTAAGCTGTGGAGCTTCTCCAGCAGGTGCTGTGACCCCCACCTGTGGCATCACGCCTGCACCACGTCTGAGATGTGGGCAGACAGAGGCCACCAGCTGCTCAGCAGATGCCCCTGCAGAGGCTGAGGCAGGTGCTGTTTCAAGGCGATCTCAGAGCTGCAGTTTTAGGGTTGTTTTTTGCCAGGCTGCAGCTAAGTGGCAGTGGAGCTCTTTGGTCTCTCAGCGCTGGAGGTCACACGGATGGGGTGACCTGAAAGGGACACAGAACAACTGAGAGCACAACCATGTCCCTCAGTCACCCTGCCCTGCTACCTACCAGATAAAGGTGTCCAGTGACACCAAAAAGCAGCAGGTGAGAAGGTCACTCTCTGGGGACTCCCTGCAACTGGTCACCAATTGACCCAAAGCTCAGCTGGAGCAGAGCCACCAATGTGCAAAGACACTGGTAGAGATCTGGCTGGATTTTAAACTAAAACCTTCCTGTTTCCAGGCATATAGCAGCAGGGATCAACAAGAACATCACATGGAGGTTCCCTCTGCATTATCTTGCTGGGGTTTTGCCCAAGCTCCAGTCCAGGCACAAGCAGGACTCTGGCAGTAGCTGAGCCCACAGAGCACACTAAGAGCCTGTTGGGACTGATGGAAAGTGAAGCTGGAGAGCTCAAGGCTCATGCTGTTTGTCAGTAAAACTGAGCCAGGGCTGTCGGTCCCACAATCTTGTCTAACATCACTAGCAAACACCCTGACACCCACAGAGGTGTTGATCCATTCGCACCGAGCTCAGTGAGTTCCCAGCACCTGCCATCCAAGGAAGAGCCTTTCCCAAACCACAGCTGGCCTCAGTCCTTGCTGGCAGCCCCACACAGCCACAGCCATGCTGCCAGCCGGTCTTCCCGACGCTAAGCTACAGAGTGCAGGCTCCTGTGCAAGCCCTGCCTGGCAGCCCTGCTCCCACGCAGCTCATGACGTTGCTCCTAGATGCTCTCCCTTGCCAGCAGCTCCCCCCTGAGCAGCCTGTGCTGTTTCCTCCCCTCCAGCCTCCCAGCACCAAGGCACAGCCGCTGCTGCCAAGCTGGTGGCCGCTCTCCATCTTCTCCTCTGCCCTTGGGCAGGGCTGTGTAGGGAGGTGTCTTATTTTTCTCAGTGTTCTTCCTCCCCTCCCCTTCCCCAGACCAGGCAGGAGGCGTATGGGGAAGCCCCCCCAGGTTCAGTGCCGTGCCACCACGCTGGCATGCTCCAGGGGGCAGGGGGGCAGTGTGCCCACCCGTGTGTGCTGGGAGGGCACCGATGGGGCACAGCAGGACCAGCTCGGGGGGAGGCTGAGGCCACACGCAGTTGTTTCACTGATTTCTTCACTGTCACCAGGGCAGCAGGTCCCTGCAGGGGCTCGCCGGGTGCCCTGGCTCCGCTGGAGGATGGGACGGGCTGCAGGTCCCCTGGGCCTCAGCTGGAGTTTGGTACAAGAAGGAATAAGGAACCAGTCAGAGCCAGGGAAAGGAGTTCAGACAACACCTCCTGTTCCAAACCTCACCTCGGGGACTCTGATAAATTTGTTTCCCCCATCCTCACTCAGGTTTGGATTTGAATCTGAATGGGAAGGAGCAGTTGCTTCTTTTGCCTGGAGCAGCACAGCCTGGCTTGTCTCCCACTCTGAGCTCAGAGGGAATTCCTGCTTCTCCTGGCCCCTATGTAAGGGCTGGCAGCTGCAGAGGCTCTGCTCTGGGCTGGCCACCAAGGGGTTAAGTCCCAGCCCTCTTTTTTTCTTTTTTCTTTTTTTTCTGTTCTGCTCTGCCTCCTTATGAGGAACAGCATTCGCGGGGCTGCAGAAAGGCTCTTTCTTTCCCCAGCAGATCTCAGGGAATGAAAAGTCTGTGTTCCAGATATTAAATTACTCATAAAATAGTTGGCCTGTCCCCGAGGCGGCTCTGCGGCCCCCCCAGCCCCCACCGCCCGCTCCGGCGGGCTGCTGATGTGCATCTGCATGTCACCTCCTGCTACAAGGTCAATCTCTCCAATTTAAAGCAGCAACGTTGGAAAGCAAACCAGATTTCAGCCGGAATTAGCTTCAAATGGAGCATTCAGGGGACTCGTGCTGGGAAGGGAGAGCAGGAGGGGAAGGATCAGCAGAGCCGGGGTTGTGGGGTGATGGGATCCTGCTGCTGCAGCACCCCACGGTGGGGCACCCCCCACAGCCCCGGGGCTGCTCCCGGGAGGCAGGGGTGCCGCCAGGGGAGAGGATGCTCGAGGAAGGGATGCTGCCAAGGGAGAGGATGCTCCAGGTAGGGGTGCTGCCAGGGGAAAAGAGAAGGCAGGGATGCTGCCAGGGGAAAGGCTGCCCGGGCATCCCTAACCCTGTGCTGCGGGGTGCATGCAGGCACGGGAGGTGGGAAGAATCCTTCACCCCTTCGCAGCTTGGGCAGCCCTGGCCCCGGGTGGCAGGGAGCAGCTTCAGCCGCTG